TAACATTAATCATCGGTTAAGTTTATGAACATTATCGCACAGCTGTCAATATCCATTTATGTTTTTATGAATACATTGCTATATGCATAATAACATTGTATACTTATTGTTGATTTTTCACATAGATGTGTATGTGTGTATATATAGCTGTATATATATATATATATATATATATATATCCGTATGTAAAAATTGATAAGAAATTTTGTAATCTCTGACAATCCTTGTTCCATTTTGATTTCATTTACGTTTTGGATTTTAAAGTCATTCTCTCGTTAACTCATCACCTGCTACCGTATTTAAGTAAGTTTTGTGTTTAACATCATTATCATTTTTTATATATAATCGTTATTTTGATTGAGTAAAATGTTCAAAAAGAAAAAACCCCATATTTTTTGATTTATAACTTAATCTCGATTTAATTATTGCCTCTAATTAATGATTTATATCCTGAAGAAAATTTCGGAACTGAAACTGATTTCTTTGACTGGGCTAACCATCAGCATCTTATGTTCACATCTAGAAAGGAACATCAAGTTCCATAAATTCCAGGATGATTCAAAGTATGACCTATTATCATCCAGATTTCAATAATTTCAAACAAGTTTCCCCAAAGTAATTTTTCGAAGCAGTGAAGGAATCATTTTTGAAGTAATATGCAAAAATGGCCGCCTTCAGGTTTTAATTGAGTAAGAATTTCACCTATCTGCCAACGTATAAAACCAATCAAGAAAGTAATATGAAACTTTATCTAACTGCGAATGCTTAGCACATGAACACATAACCACGCTCACATGAATAGAGTGAACGTTGCCGTGAGAAAACAAAAAATGGATTTTTTAAAAGGCTTGTAAGATAATGGGAAAAACCTGCCTTTGTCTAAAAAATTGTCTGTAAAACATTTCAAAATGTTTGATTAATTGAAATAAATACAATCGTTCAGCAAAACTAGCATTTACTAGTTATAGCACAAAAGATTTGAACGCAATTTTCCTACAAGATCCCTTTAACTTATTGGCACTAGAACTGCGGTCGTTTCATATATGAAGGTTTCTACCCCTTTCACATATTCATTGAAGTCGCAAATATTAAGAAAAATTGTTGAAATTTGGCGGCGTATGCTTATACAGCGTAAACTATACAGAACTTGAAGTAATTTTTATTGCACTTGTGTGAGAAATTTGCTTGTGATTTTAGTAAAAGAGGACCGATAAGCTCTTGCGAAATGATGAAGAAATAATTCGCTAAGAAATTGAAAAAATATTTATTTATTAATCTTGTAATGAAGGTTATGTTTACTATCATAACAAAGCGTAGGCTATTTATGCGACCAAGGCTTTAGATGAATGCATGCATATTTATATATATATGTATATATATAATAGTTGATGTACCAATAAACTGCTTATGTATGAATTTTAAAAACGAAAAAGTTGACGGCAGTTTATATATTAATGTTAACTAATTTAGAAATCATAATTAATTGTGTATAATACTTCCAAATTTTATTATTTGCTTAAGAGCTGGTTTTTTTTTTTATTTACGCTCAATCATAATGTTAGGGATTGTTTTCACACTATATTTAATCCAGACACCAATCAATGACCTAACTTGGAGTTGGAAACAGAAATCACTCAAAAAAAAAAAAAAGAAAAGAAGAAAAACACACTTTGATCGACTAACTAACTAACCCACACGAAATTCCAGCGGTGAGCTGCATGCAATCCTACCTACCACAACATCACAACATCATCAACGAAGAGATAACTCTGACGTAAGAGTTAGTTTAGTGAAAAAGTAAAAGCAAATCATCCTCTCCTCTGACCGATGCTTTTGCACTTGTGCACACGAATTACTATTTTTCATGCCATCTTATAATAGCAATAGTTTTGATATATAAGCAGTGGGTTTTTCCGAAATAAAATGTTCATCATCGTTACTAGCTTGAGAATGTTGCTCCTTATGTAACGAATGTGTGCCAAAAATGCCATAAAAAAACAGCTGGACTTTTTTTTTAGGTTGGGGATTAATTGGATTTGTTTATTTTTATATACGTACACATACATGCAAACGGCATTTCTATGCATAATGCATTTACGAAATTATTTCTAGTTTCAATTTTATCAGAAAATTGCTTCGATTTATGGAAGATGATGAGAATTTCTAAAAAAAAAACTTTAAAATTTTGAATCGAATTATGTGAGATGTTTTATCACTTTTGCCTCGTGGAAAGCAAATACTTGAAAATGTGTAAAGCTTCTCTGAACATGAACAAGAAAGAAGCTGCAATATTCTTCTTATTACGTCCTTCCCACTGTCGATCAATGAATGAAAACAAAAGCGATATGGATGGACAAGGGGGGCTTTGCACCTCTTCGCCTAGAACAATACACAAAAATTTATATCTTTCGTCCATGTGTAGGCGTACTTTCCATGACATGAGATTTTAGGCGAAGTATGGTTGCGACGATGAAGGCAGTCGTTTATCATCTTTCTCTTCCGCAAACAAAAACTTCAGAGAGAAAGTATTTTATCGAATCGTTTGAAACCTAAAGCTAAAACCAGATAAAAAGATAAAAGTCATTTCGTTAAAAAAAATTTCGCACTTCACTAAAAAATTTGTATTTGCGGTCCTTAAAAACCTGTAAAAAAAATAGGATAAACCGGGCTCGCCCATTCATTGCGGCACATTAAAAAAATTATCAGAGATACACGAGGTGGCACAACGATTGTTTACCGTAATAGAAAATACTTCCAAAATACCACTAAATATCGTAAAGATGATATGATACTAGTGAAGTCGTCTTTTCTAGCATGGAGATAAAACGATAGAAGGCAATCTTCATGAGCTCCAACATTTAAGGTCGTTTGCAATAAAAATTAAACTAAAAGTTCATTAACAACTAATTAACTTAACTCCTCGTTACACTCCAACCGATATTCATGTTTACCTGCAAAATTTCTTCATGAAAGAAAAGGGTTAATGAAAATAACTACAGGGTTGACAAAATTAAATAAGGAAGTCATTCTGAGCAGGTAAAAAGTCAATCAAATCAAGTAAAAATCCATCATAAAAATTTGACTAACAATTAGCAAAATATCTCTAATTAAGGTGTTGCTTAAGAGTGCCTGTTAATATACTCTGTGCGACAGTAGACATTCCGTTAACACTACTAAAACTGTTGTCTAATGCGCTGGGAATAATCTCGCGAAATATATGTCGAATCAAGGAGTAGTTTCGTCCAATTATGGGTGTCATCTTCATTGAAGATCTCAAACTTCTTTATATTGATTTCGTTAAGCATTTGCATCTCAGTGGCAACGCTGTAGAACGCAATATATATGTATGTATACACATGGGCTTAGATTTCTTACTGAAATTTTAACTTTGTGTATAACTAATAGTCCCCTCCAAACTTTGTTCAAAAGAAAAAAAAAATTTTTCGAGTTTCGAGTTCCCGGAATAGTCAAAAAACTTAAGCAAATTTAAGGTATCTCTCCAACGTTTTGTAGTTAAGAGCTATCTGTTGCTCAATAAATAGCGTAGGACAGGTAACCTTGAGCGACCTCGACTAGTAATTGACACAGAAAAAAGTTTTAAAAAACGATTGAATGCTCCCTCGTCTCATGCTTGTTTAAGAAGCGAAAAAAACTCAATTCGCCTGCATTGACATCTTTTATATATAATCGTGACCTCAATAGTGTTAAGTGTTTTAATTTAATCTCCACGTTTATTGTATTATTATTATTCTTTTGCGCATTTTTCGTAACACAATTAATCAATTAGTAAATGGTTTTCTTTCTTCTTCTTCTTATATGAACAAAATAACGAGTAAGAAAGTTGTATTCGGATGAAACCGAATCTCGCATTCCCACCACCATACACATTTTTACTTCCCCCTTGCGTGAATGGAATAAAATCCATCTTCTATCTTTTAGTTCGCTAAAACATGTTGTTACGATAAATATTAATCCACGTCCCCACGAAATTTATTTAAGAATTATCGCACTTTTAGGCACATAGTATATCTTCAGTTGGGCAATGTCCAAAATAATTTCAAGCTTTCTGCGCTGCTTCGCTCAAAAAATTGAAAAAAAAGAAAATTTAATCACTTATAACTTGATTGGCGCGTGGCTGATCGTTTCCGTTTTTGTACATAAATAGTAGAGTTTTCTGTAAAGTAAACGTAGAAAATTCCAGCCTTCATAACAAGTTAGTGTTATGAGCAAACGTTTCCAAAAATTTCTTTAGGAAAAAGGAGTTGCTTTGTGCTTAGGCTTTACTGACGTGTGCTCTGATCAATTTGGACCGTGTTCAATACTAATCTGCGTAGAGAAACTTCCAAATTTGAAGTCGATATCATCATTTTTGCAGCTAGAAGACAGCCACGTAAATTCCAGATGGACAGACATGACTGAATCGATTTCGAGTTTCACTCTGACCAGACGTAATGCATACTTTGTCGGGTCTCTGAACCTTCCGTACGAGTATAGCCCCGTCCTTCGGTAGTTGGTATAATAATAAATGAGTTTTTGTTATCCTCATTCCCTTTGAGAACATTTATCTCATTTGTTTTCGAATTTTTTCGAAATGCTTTGATTTATTTTTATACCCGCCACTGGGGGTATACTCACTTTGTTTTCTTCCTAGTTCTTCTACTTCTTTCTGCTAGTGCTTCTACTTCTAGTCCTGGAATTTATTTTTTTTAGGGTGAAAAAATTATAATAATAATATTTTAGATTTTATTTTTTTATTTATTTAATTTCATTATTTTTCTTTTTTGCTTTTTTCCTTTATATATATTTTTTCACATTTATTTATTTCAATATACAGAAATTTCTATTCTCATCATGGGTAAATAATTTATGCTACAATAAAATTATTGTTTTAGTTTTCATTAATAGTTTTTAAGTTTGCGTCGACTTTCCTTTCTTTAAATTTCGCTGTTATTTAAATTAATCTCTAATTCATTACAAATTTTTTAATCTAAACGTTGAGGTGGTTTTTTCATATATCTTTAATTTTGAAAATTTATAAGAAAGTTTTCCTTTTTGACTTGGCTGATTTTTGCAGGATATAAACTGGATTGGAAAATTGATTAGAAATATCGCTTCGCTCTTTAATAATAATGTCCGTTATCGTAAAGACCCCTTGGCATGTTGTACTTCCTATTTGCATCCATATTGTTCAGGCTACCCAAAGAATTTAACCAATTAGCTCGCTGAGCTGACAAACTGTTGCCGTTTCCAATGCCATCGTTTGGTGATCGTTGCAAATCCTCGTTACTAGATTCCAAAATCTTAAAATTATAAAGAAAAGAAAATAAAAGAATTAAGAATTTCCTTCTAATCACTTCACTATGCGTTCAATTATGAGTTTAGTATGAGTATTTTTTAATACAAAGCGCTCTGTCAGAAACTGTCAGAAAAAAAACGACTAGTTCGCTATTTAATCCATATTCACTTAACATCGAGATTCAAGTTTTATTTTAAAAAGTCTTTGCTAACTAGCAACCTTCTTTTAAAGCAATTCTCATTTGTCGCCTTAAATATTGGAGGATGACTTCCAAAAGGCAGGCTGCACTGTCGTGCTTTAAACTGCACCGCTTACAACCTCCAGTATTTTTCAAGTGAAGTCGCTTCTTGGCACTGCATGAAATTTCATCTCGTTTCTCTAAAAACTATGTTTTTGCACCAATGAAGTTTTCCGCAAATCCCATCCATTCGATGCTCAATAACCTTCTCTCGTAACGTACATAGGGTTTTTTCTAGTGATTCACTTTAAACTTTTTTTTAAAGCAATATTTTCAGAAAATCCTACATTTTTGAACAGAGATTATTAGCGATGCACCAGAGCAGATATTCTAACACAAAGGACTGCACTGTGAGAAATGCTGAACCGTCGTTTTAGTTTTCAACGATGATTAAGACAAAAACGTCGATCAGTGTACACAGAACACAGAAACACAGAAGGAAAATTTGTTGCAACCTAATCGTTGATGTTTCCTAAGATAATTCAAGACTCATAATTTCGTATTGTCAAGGAAGCCTCATCCCATGGATGCTTTTCTGGAGAAGTTTACTCAAATTAACCTTCAGTTTTTGCACTGATCTCATCGTTTCATCAAAAGTTTCTTTTCTGCATCGATTTGAGATTTACAAACAGATAATAGACACTGCGGGACAGATTTGTATAGTATGGTGGGTGTGACAGCAATTCGAAGGTCAATTCAAGTAATTTTAAAGCACTGATATATCTGTTCCGTAGTTATTTGAAAAACAACCATCTCGTGCCGAAATCTTTACACAAACTAATGAGTGCACCGCCTTTTGACATCTGCATCTCTTGCAATTTTATTTTTCAACTATCGAGAGCAATTTTTAGAAAGTGTTCATTTTTTCTCATCATCGCTTTGGTATGACACTTCACAGCATCATCAGAATGGATAGCGGTATGTATTGCTTTAAAGTCAGCAAACCATTTACAAATTGTTGTTTTCGGCCGAAGACATTTGTCGTAACACAATTCAAGACCATGCTGAGTTTTTTCCATTTTTTTTTTTTGCTGTTCTAACTTACCCAAATCATTTAATATACAAAACTACTTTACTTTTTTAAAAAATGTCTCGCATAAAGCTAACAGAGCTACGCATTATCACCCTTGGTTGCACATATATAAATGACAGGAGAAGCATGCAACAGAATTAGAGCAAGCGCAGCCGAAGTGTGTTTAATTGGCATAGGATTTCGAGTCCTTTTTTGGTGGCATTATGACAGATCTTATGCGAAAGGCTTGAGCGGCATATTTTCAACACAATGCGTGCGGATTTCTCAATCTTTTTGAAAATAACAGAAGTAGTGTCACAAAAAACTCGCATGAACTCTTAGGCAAATCATCGAGAATGATATGAACTTTTGATATTTGGCGTCGTTTGAGACTTGAAGTGTTCCGTAAATAATATGAATTTTCTGTGCGGGGGAATCAACGTCCATACGCGGGTCCCGAAAACTATTGTCTAATGTCTTATACTTTCTTTACACATGAAAATCAAAAAGAAAGAAAGAAAAAGTGGAAGAAGTATATTCGGTCGCGATAGACGGACAGACGGACGTGCTTAAATCGTTTCAGAATTTTATGTTAATCAAGAATATGTATACTTTGTGCGGTACCTGAGGTCTCCTTCTGGGCGTTGCAAACGTTTGGACAAAATGGATAAACCCATCACGCTTCGGTGGTGGGTGCAAAGAAAATTTAGTCTCAAATATATATTTTTAGTCCTCGCGTTCTTAAGCCGTAAGACATGCAGTTAATTAGGATTTCATATTCATATCATTTCGTTGATTTCCACTGGTGATAGCATTTCATAATTATACAATTCACAACTTAATTAACAATTTTCATGCTCTAAGCGTGAGGCCATAGTGTACATTAAATTACGGTTAACATTATTTGAGCGTCTTTTATGTGTTAATTTTTTATATGTTATTGTTTTTCTCATCAGCCGTAACGGCAACGACGACGACGACGACGATGACATAGTTAGTTGTACCATCTTCGTTCGTAATAGGTAATTCATCTTCTTACCAAAGGTAAGAAGCGTTAAATTTGTGCACATTTTTACAATTGTTACCCTCGCGAACATTTGGTTAAACGTAAGTAAGGTAGCACAGGTAATTATGTTAATAAACTCTTTGTATATAGAAATGTGACAAAATGCGTTAAAAGAAAAGAAGAAGAGACATCAATTTTCACATTCCTCATGGGAACTATGCTAATTATCGAGAGTAATTGAATTTTCCACATAAATATACATACATATATATATATATATATATGAATATATTTGTATACTTGCGTGTAATCTTTATTTGAATTCAAGACATTTTATTACTCAAATTAACAAACAGAGATAAGCGTAATATTGCGATAAAATAATTTGAAAAAAAAAACAAAATCATTTGCAACAAAAATGAAAAATGAACCCAAAAATTATTATTATCAACGCCGAGCTATGCATTAATTAATATATCAACGTTTTATGGTGTGAATCGCTTTAATCTAAGACTGAAGTCAAGTAAGTTCAACGTTGGCTACACACATATGTAGGTATATGTGAAAGTCAAGATGTTAGAAATCGATACATCATTACCCGGCTAATTTGAACGCACCTCTCATCAGCAGCTATAGAAAGAGAAAGAAAAAAAGCCCGCCCACAGCAATACGTAGACATAGGAAATCGTCCGAATACTTGTGCATCAGGCTGATGTTTATCAGCATATTTTTTCTTGTTTCATTTATGTTATTCCTTTCACTTTTTGAAAAAATGCATGAAATGTATGCCATTCATAATAAATTCCATTTTAATTCACCTAAAAGATGGCAGCTTTTGAAGCAATATTCGTTCGTAATGCTGCTTTCTTCGCGCTTGAGTCGTCTAGCAATGTTATACTTGACAAGAAAAAGTCAAAGGTAATCATTGGCAGTTATTGTAATTACATATATACAACAACAACTCTTATTGAAAATTGGAAATTCATGTCATGTAACATGAAATGAATAATGTTCGCAACGTTATTTCGAATAATTTCAAATAATAAAAATGCATACAAGGAAGAAAGACATGTTTGCCTTCAGGCGAACTTAGGAGGCGCATGCAAAATGCAGGTCAACCAATTATTTGATAAGTTAAGCAAGTTGTGTTTACCGTCAATCTTGAGCACCCGTTTCCCGCGACATTTTACTGTCAACATATTCTTTCTCAATGCATCGATGTTGAGACTTTGACCTCATTATCGAGCTTGTCGTTTAGCTATTACGGGACACAGATTCTCGCCTTTTTCATTTAGGCGATTTTAAAACTTTCGGCGGCAGGCGACAAATATCAAGATTAAACTCTGATAAACACTTCCGTTTGGTGAAATTTCTCTGCCCATATCCTCCATATTAAAAGTCCTAGTAGAAAAATGCATTGTGAGGACCGCAATCGTTCCTCATTATGGTCACATATCGTGGACTTAAGATATGTTTACCTTTCGGAACATAGACTGAAGCTTAGGAGTACTGTCTACATGCGACTGATCAGTTTAGTATTAAGGCAGGAAGGATAGTAGCTGATATAGAATGCAGTCTTGAATCGTAAACAGCGCCAATTATCAGGCAAATAAACGATGCGCGAACAGGTAACGTCTGCTTTTCTTCTTAAAGTTCTCGTCAAGGCGAACAGAGGCAACGCTCGGCAAGTGTCCCTATTTATTCTGTAGAAGCCGGGTTTGTCAGCAAACATTACATGACCGATGACGAAAAAGAAGCGGAGGCACCCTCAATTTACACTACAGTGTAAGCGTATCATTTGACGATTTCACCCATTTTCAATACCAACCTGCGTGCAAGGACTTTCATAAATTTTCCCAAACTCAAAGCCGAAATCTGAGTTTCGTGGGACCGGGAGAACGTTTACCGCAAAACATTGGACAGACGAAGTTGTTTAATTCCTTCCGGAAGTTGAAGGAGATCAGAAATGTATATATACCTTGGCGGACTCTCCAGAGTTTTTAGTATGATTACTATTGAAGTCTTAAAGTAAAAGCAACTAAGATTAGCGGCGTTATTGAGGGCTCTATCACACTACTTGCCTACTTGGCCACTCAGGCGAATATGACTGAAGTTACCCTATGGGGTATTGTAAACGTTTTAACATATTGAATACATTCCCAAGTCTAGCATGGAACCTAAAGCCTAAACGGCTTCGGTAGAAAGTAACTCAATCGTGTAAATACCGTAGGTCAGGAACTTCGGACACAATCTTGGCCAACACATTTGTTGCTCGCAATATATCAAATTTTATATCAACACTGCCTTTAGTCTGTGAAAGGCTGCAATAAAAGAAATTTTTTACATTTGGGTTTTCTTTGTTATCAGTTCATCGGGATTTGTAAGTTTGCTTTTCTTTCATTGAAGTGTGTCTGTTTGACTTCAAAAAGCGCACTATTTATATGCATCGTTGTAACTCTTCCCGCTTCATCAGCAGAGAAATAAGGACAGATATCCAATTCTCCCTGAATTCTTGAAATGGAAAACAAAAAAATGAGATCTATTGGCAGCCCATGAGAGCTGATTTTAATCAATTAAGTTTGACTTTAGCTTAAAGGTCTTTCTCAAATGCTTTTGGTTTTCCAATGAAAATATTTTCCCTATTTTCGAGAGATTTTTTTTATTTGGCCCAATTCCAGGTCACACGTACATGAACTCTAGCTGAATTTAAACTCTAACGTGTAATTGAACAAATACGCAATACACACGCATGAGAAGAAAAGGGTCTTGTCTCGTAACTGAACATAGCATTGCTGTTTCCCTCATCCCTCATTTGATATCCGTATCCTAATGTGTAATTTTCAATGCGAACTTTTCGAAGAGGATTTGACAAACCTGTGCTTGCTCGAGGCACAGATGGGGAGAAAAGTATGTAGAGGAGGCGTGATTAAACATATTTATTTAATTAAGTTTGATATGTCAGTAGGCAATGAAATGCAGTCATGCAACAAGTTGTTCGTACCAACAAACAAAAGGAAAAAAGAAAAAACGAAAACGAAAAAGAAAACTCACCTGCAACATGAGCTCACGCAATTTATCCAAATCATCAGCATGTGACCTTGTCGGTAAATAACGGCATTCGCAAGGTTGCTGATGGGCCATAAAAAGCAAAGCCAACAAAAAAAGCCAACAAAGGTTTGCATTCATGCCATGAAACCATGAAGCCGACGACGAAACAGTGGCGGCGGTAAAGTAGGGGGAAACAGAATCATCACCGACTGCCACAACAGATGAAGATGATAATGATGATGAAGTTAAACTATCGTTGTTGCTCTTGTTGCTGTTATTGTTTATTTTGTTAAAATGCATTTTTACGTTTCCGGTTTAACGATTTTACGTTGATCTACAAATGTGTTTTGTGCCGTTGAAGTCGATAGTCGCTGTTTTTTTTTTTTTTTTTTGTTGCTTTTTCTTTTTCAATTTGCTGCTGTTGCCCAGCAATAAAAATTTCGCTTTCAGTTACCTTAAAAAGAGAACAATTTGTGTATTTTAAATATTTTATATCTTACGTCTCCGGTACGTGTTGTTTCTTTTTAATTTCGATAAATTTACGTAAAAATAGTTAAAATTTTAAAATCCATTATATGTTAACTTTTAAATAAGTTTCTTCAGCTGGTCCGGCGTACTTAAGTTTGAATTGCACTCAAATCTTAACGATTTCCAATGATTGGTAATCGCAGTCTGAAATCCTCATTGCATTCCTTTGCTTGCCGTAGTAAACAAACCGGAATTTTTAATGGTTTCAAGCAAACAAAAAAAAGTTTGCAAATATTTTATAGCCTATAATACTTTGTTAAAGAATTTTAAAATTATCATAATACGAAAGCAAAAGTGTTGATCAAAAAAGCCAAAAAAAAAAAAAAAAAACAAGAAAAAGAAAAAGAAACACGTGTGAGTCATATTTAAAAATTTCATTATTTTTATTTACGTTTATCTCAGTGTGTTTGTGCTTTTCTTCTTCTCCTTCTTCTTCTTCTACTGCTTCTGCTTATTTGCCTTATATCTGTTGTCTTGGCCTTTTGCAGTCGTAGTTGACGTTATTTTGCAAGTAAACCGGAAAATAACATAAATGAAATTTATGTCCGTTCTTATAAACACTTGAGATTGTTTTCGCCACAATATGTCTCCACTTTATGGAGTCAATAATTCAATAACTTTTTCCTCGAAACTGTTCAGTAAACTAGTACGTGCGTGTGTATAGTATTTGAAAATAAATTCTTAGAATAATTTTCCAATGACATTATACGAGGAGAGAAAACTTTGCCGTCACATTTTCGATTTTTTGCCAATGAAGCGAGCAAATCCCTCTCATGACAACATTTTAAAGTAAGCAAAGGGAAAACGAAAGAATTTCACTTTTGGACGTATTTCTTAACCATTATTAACTTATCCATGATGGAGAAAAAATTCACTGATTCGATACGTCGCTCATACATCGTTTTACGTATATATTTTGAACTATATTTTTTTATGATTTTTATGATTGAATCGATCGGGGCCTAGCCATCTACACATACAAGTGCCGTGTCCCGTTTTCACAACCCAGTGAAGTGTCTATGCTGTGGGAATGTTATAGCGGTGTATATAAGTGCACGTTTCGCGATAGAGTTGTATTTCTAATCTATATCTAATGTGTGAGTAGGGGAGGCTTTTGTTTTCTCATGGAGTCCTGCGCAACACTACAGCCGGCTGTTTGATCCAAGCTATCGGGAAAGGCTTCTTTATATTTCATCTTCACAGCAGAATACACGTTCATGTAGAACGCCTTCGCCCCCACTTATGGAGTAATCATCACTGGGCTTGTTAAATGACGGATTTAGATTCTCACAATAACTACTTGCCCTAAACGCTCACAGATGCTCCTTATGATGGATATAAAAAATTTATAACCATTTCTCAGATGATATCAGATCATGATTCCAAATAGGTTTCCAAATAAAATAAGAACTCTTACTTGTGACTTACGAGTTAGGGTTTTGAAAAGGCGTAAGTTCCCAAATATTTCTAAAGATTGCTTTTCTCGCCAAGCTCTAAGTGATGTAGTGCAACTTGAAAAGGTATGAATCATCGAAAGTGTGCAACAAGCCAGCACCTTAAACCGTTTAAAAGTCCTCTTCATCTTAATGGAAGCATTTCCGCCAATTTCTGACAGTAACAAGCGCTAATGGGTCAGTTACCTAAATTTTAATTACCGCCTTGTACTTAGGTACAGTTTTCCAAATTGCGTTCCATATTTCTAAGTAGTAGAACTGTGAGATAAGGTAAGATAAGACTTCAGAAAAAATTTCTCTTTGTTTGATAAATAAATATAAACTTTTGTGTTTTAACTTATAGGATCTTATTCTCTTCTCACGCCACTTTAGAGGAGGAAACCTTTAAGAGGTGTTTGTCACATCCCAGAGCCAACCCATGGTCTAATCTATACATCAATTTTTTTTTAATTATTTAAAACTATTTTTTTCTTTTTAATTTCAATAGAAAATATGAGCTACGAAATTTCCTGAAAGCCTTACACCTATCAAGTCATCGTTCCTTTTGTAAAATGCTTCCTTTTTTTTTAATTTAAAAACTAATATAAACTATTAATTTAAATATTATTTAATTAATGTTAATTATTGTGTTCTGCCTTAAACAAAAAAAAAAGCCTTTTCCTTCTTTTAAATTTTCTTAAACTTTTTTTATTTTTATATAATATAAATAAATGCGTGAATTAAAGTAAGATGAGCACTGGCAGCTGAGACTATCTTCTTAAAATTTATTCAAAATTGTATTTTGATTATAAATTATAATGTTAAAATTATACAAAAAAAAATAAAAAATTTAATAAAAACATGAAAATAAAGAATTTTTTACAAAAATATTTTTAAAAACAACTTTTTTTTACAAAAATAATGACGTAGTATTGCAACACGACAAGCACGACAAGGCCAAAGGAAGGAATTCTTGCTTTATAACGAGTTGCACAAAATATTTCTTTAAAGTGTTTAATTAGTTATGGAAACCGATTAAATATTTGACTTGAATTGAATGCCTGCCTGACTCCATTCGATTAGATTGCCAAGTTTACTTACTTTAAAGGTAAACAGTTCTTTATTTTAGTGATTTAATTAGCGATGCAATCACTTAAATAATTCCAAATATTTGTTTATTCAAGAATTTTGAAAAAAAAAAATCTTTTACACAATATATGGATTTAATACAATTTTAAATTTTAATTTAATTTAAAATTTGCTTTTAATAAAATTCTAGTCACTTTTTTTATATTTTATTTTATTTTATTATTATTATTATTTTTTTTTTTTTTTTGCTTTTTGCTATGTATTTTATAATATTAGTATTTGTGAAGAGCTCTCGACTTTATCTAGGATAACACAATTTAGTGTTTGAACGCATATCCTGTGGTAACAATTGTATTTATAGCCAAAAAAGAAATCTCTCTCGATATAACTATGACAACATACACCGAAAACTAAAACAGCAATAACAAAAATACATTTAGATACATATAACCATACATACACACACATACCCCCACATAGACAAATACGTAGAGACGAGATACGTTCGCTTCTTAACTTGACTTTAAACGGCAACAATAAGGATACTATAGCTAACCAATCGACCTCCCGTTCTTTCCATCCTTTTTAAAGGGTATTCTATACCGATATCAGTTATCTTGGCTAATAAAACAGAAAAGCATGTTCTCAAGCACGCATACATACACCCATACAAATTCATAATGACAAAGAAAATCTATAAATTATGTAGTTTAACATGCTCCGAGATTTTCTGCAGACCCCAAAATACACAATTCATTGTTGAATATTTACTGTCTCTACACATTGTGCATATCGCTGTGTACGCGACTTAGTACTGAAAATTCTATGACCATTTCGAAAGGTGGGGATGGTTAGAAAATTTGGCCTGAATATTACGCACGATAGTTGGGCGGGCGGTCGACTGCTTACCATAGAGCACAACACAAACAAATTAAGCGCTTGCGCTTTTCCAGCAATTATCACACGTGTCCATTTAAATTCATTTCGAGAAACAATTGTTTCGAATGTTGCATTTGAATACATCGTAACGCTGAAAGCAAGCATTTACCTAGACACATACACAAACATATAAAAGTACATAAATATACATTCGCACGTACTTATATACATATATATGTATATATATATATGTACATACAAAGATGTAAAAACTATTTTCTTTCAATTTCAAAGTGCATCACTCCCAGTCGCTCTTATCGTTTCTGTTTTTTTTTTTTTTTCTTTCGTAGGTTCACGTCATTTGCAACGATTCATACCGTTCTGTATATAGCTGATAGACGAAACATTTTGCACGGAGCGCCCCATTGATTCGGGTTTCATTTTAGAGATATGGGGATAGACTACATTAGCTTAACGCTGCGTTAAATACGGCCACGAGCACACTTTACTTGCCACAGGGACGTTCTCATTAAAGAATAAGACCAATGTAAATTTTTCGAATTTTTTTCTTTAGTAGATTGTTATGAACCTTCTAGTGTATGTAGAAGAAAACTCATTATACGGAAAAGATCCTTGAAATCTTGTGCTTCTTCACAATGAACACCTGCGACCGATTAGAATAAAGATCTTTGGAAACTGTTCATGTTCGTTTAAAAACAGTCCCATTGACGGTACTGCACTGCTCATCAAGATCAGCATTGAAGGACAATTCGAAATTTTTCCGTGCTTTTGTCAAGAAATTAAAAACTTGACGGGAAGCTTTTGAAGTCGACAATAGAGTTGTATGTTTTCTTTCCCCTTTAATTTATCATCTCGCTTCACGCAAAGATTGTGTTGAAGCTGCGTTTCAAGGGAATAATAACGCGAATTTGGAAGGACAGTGTTGTGATTCTGCGGGTCGTACGCAACACACGATTTTTTCATTCCAATTGCTTGCGGTATCTTCAAAACAATGCGGTATCTAAAAGAATGCATGCAACCTTTGCCATAAGTTCATGTAAACATTTTTTGCTAACAAAGGAGTGTCCTTCTTTTGGGACGAGAATAGAAGTTTTGCATTCAAAAAACTCGTTGACTACATAAAAATGAACCTTGGTAAAAATTTCTACCCATCTCTCTAGAATTTCTTCTCCTTGAAATTATATTTGAACCAATCACGCTAGTTTGTCGCATCGCTTCTTCAGTTAAACATGTCTCGCAAAAATGGCGTATTTCCAAATTTCTATAAATTTTATTTCATTAACATTCTCGGATTAATTAGGGAGAAGGGGTGAAAACTGAAAAGAAGATCTTAGATTACTTATAAAAAGGTTCCTTTTCTTTCCATTTGCATTAGCTGAATAGGAAGTGTTTTGCCACTTAGAAGCACAGACACACACAAAACAAAAGCCTTACATGGCTGAGATATGTAACGTGAGAAATC